ATAACAAGTGTAATATCCACTAAAGCAAAGCTTAAGTATATAACACCAACAAAAGCTAACGTGGTAGCCGATGCCCTTAGTCGGAGGAGTTATGGCCAGTTGTCCTGTCTTTTTACCGAGCAAGATGTCCTTCTTCGGGAGTTTGAGCGGCTACAGCTAGAGGCAGTGGAGCCACCTTCGACAGCCAGGGGTATGTTGACCTCTTTGGTTGTGGGACCGACTCTTCGTGAGAGGATAGTCGCCGAGCAACCGAATGATCGTTTCTTTTGCCGGATGAAGGAGTTGTCGAAAGCCGGTAGAGTTGGAGGATTCGCAGTCGCATCTGATGGGGCCTTGGTCTTCGAGGGTAGATTTTGTGTTCCGAAGGTGTGGGAATTGCGAAGGGAGATTTTGAGAGAGGCCCATAGTGCCCCGTACACCGTCCATCCTGGTAGTTCGAAAATGTATCAGGACTTGAGGAAGTCTTTCTGGTGGCGAGGTATGAAGTGGCAAGTGGCAAGGTTCGTGAATGGGTGTCTGGTATGTCAGCAAGTGAAGGCTGAGCATCAGAAACCGAGAGGGAAGTTGCAGCCACTTGAGGTTCCCTTATGGAAGTGAGAGTGCATCACTATGGATTTGTTAGTGGGATTGCCAAGGTCGAGGACCGGGCATGACTCTATTTGGGTGATTGTGGATCACCTTACGAAGTCGGCCCACTTTCTGCCAGTTCGGACGACTATAAAGGCTAGTCAGTATGCCGAGTTGTTCGTGGATGAGATTGTCAAGCTTCATGGAGTTCCTGTGGAGATCGTGTCTGATCGAGACGCGAAGTTCACTTGCCAGTTCTGGAAGACCCTGCACCGAGCCATGGGGACGAGGCTGGAGTTCAGTACAGCTTTTCATCCTAAGATAGACGGTCAGTCGGAGCGGACGATCCAGTACTTGGAGGACATATTGAGGGCTGTGGTCTTGGACCGTAGCCTAACCTGGGAGAGTGCCTTGCCTTTGGTCGAGCTGACTTACAACAATAGCTACCACTCCACGATCAAGATGGTCCCATTTGAGGCTTTGTATGGACGTAAGGTTCGAACACCCTTGTATTGGGATGAGGTCAGGGAGAGGATGATCATGGGTCCGGAGTTCATTCTTAGAGCTGCGGAGACAGTTGAGGCTATCCGGAAGCATATCCGGTCAGCCCAAGAGAGACAGAAAGTCTATGCCGACCGGAAGAGGGATGAGCACGAGTATGCCGTCGGAGATCACGTCTTCCTGAAGGTCTCGCCCATGAAGGGTGTGATTCGCTTCGGGAAGAACGGGAAGCTTAAACCGCGTTATATTGGGCCCTTCGAGATCCTTGCCCGAGTCGGGAACTTAGCTTACGGCTGGCTTTACCACCTAGCTTGTCGGGAGTGCATGACGTGTTTCATATTTCGATGTTGCGGAGATACGTCCATGATCCCGGTCACGTGGTGGACTTCGGCGAACTGCAGGTCGAGCGAAACCTTACTTACGAGGAGGTACCGGTAGCTATTTTGGACCAGAAGGTCCATCAGTTGAGGAATCAGACAGTGAGCTTGGTGAAGGTGCTTTGGAGCCGACATGGCGAGTCAGAGGCAACTTGGGAAAAGGAGGCCGAGCTTCAGAGGCGATATCCGAACTTTGAGTTTTGAGTTCCCCTTGTATTTTATTTGCTTTCTCGATGTTTATTTTCGAATTCTGAGGACGGAATTCTTTGTAAGGTGGATAGACTGTAATACTCCGTTTCATTTTGGATTATTGGAGAATAAGTATTGATTATTGCTATTATTAAATTGTTTGTATTATTATTATCATCATTATAATTATTATTATTATAATTGCTATTAACTGTCAAATTGCCATTATTTATTTGTTATTAGTAATATTGCTATTATTAATATAAATTGTCTACATATTAATAATTGTCAAATTGTAATTATTTGTCAATGCATATTTTTATTATTAATATTATTATTTTAAAATATTATGTGTATTATAAATATAGATATTTCGGATTATATATTCGTCGTCAAGAGAATTGTTCGATGTTAGTCCTCGGATATGAATCTCGTCCCAATTGGAATTTTATTCCAATACCTTTTACTATATTATTTAATGGACCCAGTGTCTAATATTGTATGTAGCCCAAATTGGTAAGTGGCCCATTGGCAATAAATTTTTTTTTTTTTGGCCCATAAGATCACGATCTTGCAGAGCCCCTTTTCAGTTCGCTTCCTTCGCAATGGTCAGACCGAGTCTTCTTCAACCTCAGCAAGATCAAAATTTTGTTCCGATACTTCGGTGAAATCCTTTGCACGTTCTCCCCTTTTCACTCGCCGACCTCCTTCTCACCTATTATATCTCGGTCATCTCATATCTCTCGCTATAGTATCAGTTGGGAATTTTTCTTTTCGAAACCTGCAACAGCAAATCATCCCTCACCATTAATTCCGGCGAGAGACCTGCCACCATCGTTGTCCCGAGAAGCATCCTGCCATCGCCAACGCCCTCCGCAGCGGTTGACCCTTGCCGTCGATTCCAGAGCAGAAGCCAATCGTGAGCCTGCGATCCGGCGGACCTCCATTGTTTCCGGCGAAAGCTCCATTCGCGTGCCTCCGGCGTTCACCGTTCTTCCCGACGAGACCTCCTGTTCGCCATCAGCGTCGATGCAGCGGAGCAATTCGGGGATCAGCAGACTTCAGTCACCGTGTCCGAAGCTTTCGAGTTCAGAGTCCCTTTCGTCCTTTCGGCCCCGTTTCGCCCCGACCGTTTTCCGATAACTCGTAGATTCCCGAAGATGGGTAATATTTTCGAACCTTTCTGTTTTACTATTCGTACTACCTTGTTGCTGGAATTATTTTCTCGTTGAATCGTTCATTAGTATTTGGAATTCAGATTAATTATTGGTTCGTTCGTTGAATTTTGGATAATTATTGAATGAATCGTGAATTGGCGTGGATCTCCCGGAACTCTCCACTTAGTTTAATTGAGTCTGTTTTTTTATCGCTGCAAATTAATGATAGATTCGGAGTCTCGTTAAATTCTTCCGGGTTGTTATATTCATCACTCATGTATGTATTTTGTTCAGGCCGATTACGTGTTGCTCAAACCCGGTTCTTCTAACCTTTCGAAACTCTGAATGTGTATGAGTTATCAAAATTTTACAATGTCTTGAAACTATTGTTTTGGCAAATTCGTTTTAATCTCAGAGTTCCGTTTTATTGATTGGAGCCGTGTCGTAGTCGTTGTGTCGTTTGGTCGTTTGCGAACCGTTAGGTGTTGTTTCCTATTTTATTTTGAAAAATTTCTGTGAATTTAGCTGCTGAAATCTGTAGCATAAAGTGTTGTTCAACCTGCTAGTAGGCCTTTCAAATTCGCAGCTTTTATTTCAGTTTTAAAAGGCTTTGTTCAAAAATTTATTTTGTAAGTTTGCAATTTAAGTCGCAGCCAAGCTTGTAGCGCAACGGTTCCGCGTGATTTTCTGTACGCGAGGTCGCGTGTTCGAATCCCAACCCTTGCAAAATGGCTTTTTTTTTTTAAATGTCAGTTTCTAGAGCGCGCGGGCCATCTGGCCCGATACCAGCCCGCGCGCGGTCCTGTTCCTCTCTGCAGCAGTTACAGCCCGCGAGAGCCATCCAGCCCGAGTATCGGCCCGCAATTGCCCCAGCCTTGGTCAGACCCTATTGCGCAGCCCAAATTGGTTTAGGAGGCCCAGTTTATACATTGTCTTGGGCCCTGTGATCAGACATCACAGCCCAATGCGTCTTTTAAGCCAAATTTTGTGTTTTGGAGCCCGTTTTACGTACCGTTTACAATTCTAAAAATTATTTTCAAATAAGAAAAATTTGGAAAAAAAATTATTTTAAGTTCCGAGACTCCAATATAGTTCTCTGAGTCCTATTTTTTTAAAATGAAAGAGTTCCAAGTCCACGAAAAATCTGATTAAAACCCGTAAATCTTAATTTTTATTAAGTATGGGTTTTATGTTAAATTCGAGTAGTGAGATAAATTATTGATAAATTATCTCACTTAAATGTAGGTGTTTGAGGAGTCAAGCCCCATCCTACGTGCTTGCTCTTGTGTGCCATTTTCTACCAGAATTTCCAGGTGGGTTGTAATTGTAAAATTTACTATGCCTTAATTAATTGTTTTTGTTGTGGTATGATCAAAGTATGCATGTGAACCATGTAGCCTTCGATGTGAGCTATATTGGCCGTCGAACGGTTATCCCACGTACCTTCGGGTAGTCTCCTTTATTAATGTTGACAGTCAGGGCGTGAGTCTTGGCTGGTGATCTTCGTATGTAAGGCCAAGGCGTGAGTTTTGGCATTCGGGGTGGATTATTGCTCCTGCTGGCCGGGCACTCGTTGTAAGGCCTTTGAGGAAGGCGTTCGGTATATAGCTCGGCAGTAGTCTATTGTTATAGGTGTGCACATGAGACCATTATTGATTATTGATAGGAGATGGGACGATTATTGATTCGTATACATGCTGCGACCATACTTAAATTGTTTTCATGATTATTGAGATTAATTATTGCATAGCGGTGAGCACCTCGACTTTCCTATTGTGCTCATCCCCACCTGCTCTTAATGGATGCAGGTTAGTTTATGCGCCACGACGGAAGGGATGCGAGTGGTGGTCTTTAAAATTGAATAAATGCTTCCGTCTTGAAAAAATGAACTTGGATATTATTGCATTATTGATTATTGTTTTTCACTAGTACCGGATTATTGAATTACTGATGGGGATTATTTCCCTAGGATTATTTTTGGATTTGCATTATTGGAATTTTATTATGGATTATGAGTATTGATTATTGCTGAATATTGAGAATGTGTTTAGTATTGATTAATGTTTTTAAAAAATGAGTAACGCCACAAATATTGTTTTTAAAAATAAATTTCGAAAAATTTATCCTGATTTTCGGTAAATAAAAGTGGGGCGTTACAGAAACACTTGAGGACTCGATCAATCGAATGAAGGCATACCACGATGGAAAGAGGCGCGACGAGGAGTTCGAGCCCGGGGACTTGGTGTTCTTAAAACTAAGGCTATTTTGGCAACGAACGACCGCACAAAGGGCCGCGACCAAACTTGGGGTTCGTTACTATGGGCCTTATAAAATTTTGGCCAAGATCGGGAAGGTTGCTTATTGACTTGAGTTGCCGGACGATTCTCATATACATCCAGTCATACATGTTTCGCAGCTCAAGCGAAGTCTTGGCGAGGCGAATTTGGTGAAGGATAGGCTACCCGCGGTCGCACCGGATGGACAAGTTGTAGTCCGGCCAGGCCGCGCGGTTGAGTACTGGCAAATTAAAAGGGCCGAAAAATACTTTTGGGAAGTACTCGTCGAATGGGAAGATTTGCCGAGTGAAGAGGCAACTTGGGAAAGTTGTGACGAGATGAGCGAAAGATTCCCCGATTTCATCCTTGAGGACAAGAAAGCACTTGAAGGGGACGGGAATGATGAGAACACGATAAGAAGGCTGAAGAATGCGACGAGTCGCGCTTATCATGCACGGCGGAGGTTAAGCCGCCGGGCTGCCGAGGCCCAACTCGTTAGCGGGCATGCGCGCGCGAGCAGTGACGCGCGTGAGAATTTAGACCAAGGACGCGATAGCGCGAGTACGGCCGAGGGGATTCACGCGCGAGCACACCTAACCACGCAAGGAATAGACGATACAGATGACGGGGCGCGGGAGTCCGGCACGCGCACAATGGCGGCTAGGGTTGGGCGACGCAAAGCGGATTCAATAGATTAGAATCCTTTTCTTTCCTTAATTCCTAGTATGGTAGGATATCTTATGTTTTATTGTTTTCCTAGTTTAAGTAGATTAGCCCTAATAGAATAGGATTAGATCTTTATTTTGAGCCTTATAAATAGGCGCAAGCATTGTTACTTAGGATTATTATTGATTCTTCTTAATACAAAAATCCGAACTTTTGTTCAAACACTTTGCGTAGATTTCCTTGAATTCTATTGCAATTTTACTTGTTTTGAAGGACTGTGGACGCGGATCTTCGAGACCCTATCTCGATTTAAGGCACTCGCGTGGCTTGTCGAAAGGTCGAACACACGATCTTCATCAACACGTCAACACGCACGGCAACGTCCATCTAGCCAGTCCGCGTACACGACAACACATCGCACGCCCAGCAGCGTGCCCCGCAACGTCTGTACGCCCACCAGCAGCGTTCCACGCACGCTGGCCAGTGTCCACGCACGCCAGCACGCCCGACAGCGTGCCAGCAGTGCCCAGTAGGCCTTGTCGTTGCACGGCAACACGCCCGAATGCCCAATCAGCCCAGCACGCACAGCCCGCGTGCCAGTCGCCTGTCCGTGGTGCGCAGTAGCGCCCGACAGTGCCAGTCCGCCCCAGTACCGTTGTCAGCGTACATGGGCGTGGCCAGTCATGGCCAGCAAGTGTCCAGCAGTCACTGGCCGTGCACAGCAGCACGCCAGTGACCGTCCCCAGCGCACGCACGGTGCCAACAGCACCCACCAGCGCCCGGGACCAAACCAGCCAGCTCCAGCAGCGCCGGCAGTGCCTAGGCCGCGCCTAGTGCGCGAGTGACCGAGCCGGTGGTTAGCCAGCGGCCGACCGTCCGGCCACAGCGAGCCGGTAGTCTGGCCAGTCAGTGAACCGGCCGGTTCAGACCGGTTACTTGAGCAGTTCAGTATTTAGTGACCTGGTCCGAGTTCAGTACAATATTTCAGTTAATTTTTCAGTCCAGTCAGTTCAGTACGCGGGTATCAGTTCAGTCCGGTTTTCTTGTCAGTCAAGTTAAACCCCGAGATAATACCAGTTAAATGTTTAGATCGAGTCGAGCATCTTAACAGCTATTTTCAGTCAGTCTGAGCATAGTACTTTGTATTTGTTTATTTATATATATTTTTACAGATTGATCAGCAGCAGCACTTACATATTCAGACTATCAGTTCAGTGGGAACTCAGACTGAGTATTACATTGAGTATAATTACAACTATCATGTTCGAGGTATGTATATACCAGTTCCTCTTAGAGTGGTGGCCTGTTGCATAATTCCACTCCTAGCTCTAGTGGCTAGATCTGACCACTAGGGTGTGCACATGGTTCCGGCTGAGTTTAGTACAATCGGCAGACACAGTTTACGTCCAATTTATACTGTTGACGAGCCAGTTACAGATAGCAGCAGATATACATGCGTTTAATCATGATGATGCAATTATTATTATTGTTTTATTTCAGTATGAGTTTCTGCAGAGCACAGTGGCTTTAGTGCTCACGCTCCCACTATATTATCTTTTTCAGGTGACAAGGTCGGTCCAGAGGAGTGAGCAGAGCAGGTGGTCGATGGTCCAGTATATAAGCTTTTGCAGACTTATGATATGTATATTATTTGCCACGTTTTTACTTCCGCTGACCTTTTCAGACTCTCAGACTCGCATGTTAGTTTTCAGATTTTGATTCGAACCTTCTGGTCGGATTTATACAGTATTACATACCGGTTTGATAAAAGATAATTCGTTTTTCTAAATGATTTTGATTTTAATTTAGTTAACGGATATTTACAAAAAGAAATGTTTTTCTGTAGCATCTCGAGTCACAACTTCGCAAACTAATACGTATTTTTAGAAAAGAATTTGCGAAAATTTAACTCTGATTTTAATAAGCTAGCGGGGTGTTACAAATTGGTATCAGAGCACGTTTTTGTGTATCTGAATACTTTATTAAGTTAGAAATTTTCAGAAAAGACCCGACCACGCTACGCTCACGCCTCGCCGACTACAGGTAAGTGCTGAGTTACAGTTTATATATATATCTAAACGGATGCTTAAGTCTATGCTCAGTAAAGGGTGCAAGATATTTAACCCTAGAAATCAGTAAGATGCTCGAGTTAATGATCAAGTATTTTTAGAATATAGTCGATTGTCTCAGTTATTTGATAATTCGACTCTAGTTTTCTCGGGTTATTTAGCGACTCGTCAGGGAATTTGTATGCTCAATCAGTCAGTCAGTCAGTTAATCGATTATGTTAATATTTCAATGTCCAGATGCCTTCTCGTAGAGATCCAGACAAGCAGGGACTCCCTCAGGCCACAGTGGTCGCACAATTCCGCGACTACCATCCAGAAAAATTATCCAGCCAAGGAGATCCTCGTATAGTGGACGAATGGGTTCAGGGCCTTGAAATGATTTTCGAGGTCATGAACTGTCCTGATCGTTATCGCGTATTATGCGCACAAATCCAGCTGACCGGTGATGCCCGACTCTGTGGAATGCCTATTGGAGTATGCGTCCCAGCGAAAAAGAAGGTTGTACGTGGGACCAATTCAAGGAGTTGATTCGCGGGAAGTACTATCCCTCGTATTACCGAGCAAAGATGGAGCGCCAGTTCCTGGCACTCAGACAGGGTACTCGTTCTGTTGACGAGTACGAGAGAGAGTTTACCCGACTCGGAGCCTTCGTACCCGATCTTGTGAGTACGGAGGCGAAGAGAGCCCATCGTTTTACTAACGGACTTCTCCCAGCAGTCCGTCATAACATTGTAGGTCACCTTGTTCAGACCTACGCCTGCACAGTCGCCATTGCCCAGGAAGTAGATGCCAGCATCCGACGAGAAGCTATTTCGACTTCAGCCCAGCCAGTTGCTCAGCCACCAGCCCAGCCCAACGTTGCCCAACCATCAAAGAACCAGAAGAAGAGGAAGTTCAGAACCACTCTTGACGAACGGAGGACTCGCCACAGACAGATACCAACCTACCCGACATGTGGAAAACGCCACCGTAGAGAATGCCTTGTGGGCCAGAACATTTGTTTCTTTTGTCGCCAGCCAGGCCATATCAGCCCCAATTGCCCAGAACGACTGCAACAACAACCACAACAACGACAGCCACTTCAGCAACCTCAACAGCAGCACCTCAGGCAACAGCCACCACGACCCCAGCAACAGCCACGCAGAATACAGCAGGCCCGCGTCTTTGCAGTTGACCAGAGAGAGGCCGACCAGCACCCAGGTACCATGTCTGGGATGATTATTCTTAATAATGTGCCTGTTTATGCCTTGTTTGACACCGGAGCGACCCATTCTTTTATATCACGCCGATGTCTCAAAGCTATTGGGGTCCATTCTCTTACCACTATCAATCCTCCCGAGGTGAGTTTAGCCTCGGGTCGAAAGATATTGACTGATGCTAGAGCCACCGATCTCAGCCTTTCCATCGGCGGCCGTATTTTGACTACTGATGCTTATGTTATCGAGATGAGGGACTTTGACCTCATACTCGGTATAGATTGGCTAACACGTTCTCACGCAGATATCCAATGTCACGATCGGGAGATTACTCTTTATCTTCCGAGAGATGATCAGATCACTTATTTCGGCTCTAGGACTCGTACTTTGCCACACGTTATTTCTATGGCGAAAGCCAGAAAGATCTTCAACGAGGTGATTGCCAAGGTTACCTTGTGAGCCTCGTTGGAGATGAGCCAAAGTCACGGTCACCTCATGACCTTCTCGTTGTTCGTGAGTTTGTGGACGTATTCCCAGACCAGCTTCCGGGCGGTCCACCTAGCCGACAGGTGGAATTTTCTATCGATCTTATCCCTGGAGCCGGACCCGTTTCTAAGGCGCCATACAGAATGACACCTAAAGAATTGCAGGAATTAAAGACCCAAATTCAAGAATTGTTGAATCTTGGTTTTATTCGACCGAGCGTCTCACCTTGGGGAGCACCCATTCTCTTTGTCAAGAAGAAGGACGGATCCATGCGTATGTGTATCAACTACCGGGATCTTAACCAGTTAACGATCAGGAATAAATATCCGCTTCCCAAGATTGATGATTTATTTGATCAGTTGAGGGGTGTCTGCGTGTTTTCCAAGATTGATTTGCGTTCAGGCTACCATCAGCTGAAAATCAAGGAGTCAGACATACCTAAGACAGCGTTTCGTACGAGATACGGTCACTTCGAGTTCGTGGTTATGCCGTTTGGCCTCAGCAATGCCCCGACAGTATTCATGGACTTGATGAACTGTGTATTTCATCCTTTCCCTGATTAGTTCGTTATTGTATTCATTGATGATATTCTTATCTATTCCAAGAGCCAGAAGGAACACGAGGAGCATCTGAGGGCCGTTCTTGTGACCCTTAGACGAGAAAAGTTATACGCAAAGTTCTCCAAGTGTGAATTTTGGCTTCAGCGAGTGGCTTTTCTTGGCCACATTATTACTCAAGAAGGTATTGAAGTAGATCCTTCCAAAATTGCCGCAGTCCAGAACTGGTCAGCACCGAAGAATCCGTCCGAGGTTCGTAGTTTCCTCGGCCTTGCAGGTTATTATCGCAGATTTATTGAGGGGTTCTCGAAGATTGCCCTCCCTTTGTCTCAGTTGACGAGGAAGTCTGTGAAATTTGAATGAACAGACCGCTGTGAGTCGAGTTTTCAGTAGCTGAAAAGGAGGCTTACGACGGTACCGGTGTTGACTATTCCAGATCCTTCCCGGAGTTTCACCATCTATAGTGATGCTTTGAGGCAGGGTTTGGGGTGTGTACTTATGCAGGACGACCAGGTTATAGCTTACGCTTCACGTCAGTTGAAGCCCCATGAGCAGAACTATCCTACCCACGACCTGGAGCTAGCTGCAGTTGTACATGCACTCAAGATATGGCGACATTATCTTTATGGTGGTCGATGCGAGATTTACACCGATCACAAGAGTCTGCAGTATATTTTCACGCAAAAAGAGCTCAACATGCGTCAGCGACATTGGTTAGAGCTTGTTAAAGATTATGACTGCACGATTCAGTATCATCCAGGGAAAGCAAATGTTGTAGCTGATGCCCTAAGCCGTAAGATGAAGGGTGACTTGACTTATGTTGTTACTCAGCAGAATCATCTTATTCATGAATTCGCCCGGATGCAGATTCAAGTCTTCGAGTCGCTTCTTGCAGTGATTACAGGGAGTGTTAGCTCGATGCAAATTCAGCCCACGTTGAGGGACAGAATCCGGCAGGAGCAGGCTCACGATCAGTTTATTCGTGCTATTGAGGCCAAGCTTCACACCGGAGGAGTCGAAGGTTTTTCCCGAGGCACAGATGGCGCTTTGGAGTTCCGAGGCAGGATCGTAGTGCCGAAGGTCGAGGGCTTGCAGAAGGAGATCTTGACGGAGGCACACACCGCGCCTTATTTAGCTCACCCTGGCAGCACCAAGATGTATCACGACCTGAAAAAGTCATTCTGGTGGCGAGGGTTGAAGAAGGACGTAGCCAACTTTGTGAGGAAATGTTTAACCTGTCAACAAGTCAAAGCCGAGCACAAGAGTCCCTTAGGCCTTCTACGACCACTGCCTATTCCAAGGTGGAAGTGGGAGGAGGTTGTGATGGATTTTGTCACGGGGTTACCGAGGTCGTCTGAACATCACGACGCTATTTGGGTCGTGGTCAACAGATTGACTAAGGTTGCTCATTTCTTACCAGTATCGATGAATACGTCTTTGGACAAGTTGGCTGAGATTTATACCCGTGGGATCGTTCGACTCCACGGAGTGCCTGTTACTATTGTGTCAGATAGAGATCCCAAATTCACGAGCAGATTCTGGAAGAGTTTACACAATGCGATGGGCACGAAGCTAGCATTCAGTTCAGCCTACCATCCAGAGACTGACAGACAGACAGAGCGGACTATCCAGACATTGGAGGATATGTTGCGAGCTTTGGTTGTTGACAGGGGTGCTAAGTGGGAGTCGTTATCGCCGTACGTTGAGTTCGCGTACAACAACAGTTATCATTCTTCTATTCAGATGGCTCCTTCGAGGCACTTTACGGTCGTAAGTGTGGTTCCCCTCTTTATTGGGACGACGTCGGTGAACGTCGAGTACTCGGTCCGAAATTAATCGAGAAGATGGCAGAACAGGTCGAGTTGATCCGGCAGAGACTTAAGATAGCTCAGAGTAGAATCATCATCGACGAGATTTCCAGTTCGAGGTTGGCGAGCGAGCTTTTCACGGAGTTATTCGATTCGGGAAGAGAGGGAAGTTGCACCCTCGATTCATTGGCCCGTTCGAAGTACTCGAGCGAGTGGGCGACGTTGCGTATCGATTAGCCTTACCTCCCGAGTTGTCCAGTGTTCACAATGTTTTTCATGTATCCATGTTACGTAAGTACGTGTGCGACCCCGATCATGTCATTCCCCATACTGATATTCAGATCCATCCAGATTTATCTTACGAGGAGCGACCGGTAGCAGTGTTGGACCGACGACTCCGGAAGCGTGATGTTCCCCTCGTTCGTATTCAGCGGGATCGCCACGGAGCCACTTGGGAGCAGGAGGCTGATATTCGCGCTCGTTTTCCTGATTTTCAGTTCTGAAGTATATATCTTTTCATGTAAATATGTTCAGTTTTATATTTCCGGGGACGAAAATATTTTAAGGGGGGTAAATTGTAATAACCTCGTTTCTTATTAATGGAAGTTATGTATTTTCTTTTATTAATCTCGTTCATTTTCAGCGTTTAAGTTAATAAGTTCGACTTTAAGTCGAAAAGTCTATTCGGTTAATTATTAACTGAGTCCAAGTTGATAATTAATTTCCGAACCATTTATTTTATAAACGGATATTATTAATCGGGATTAATTATTAAAAGTTAAGAATGTTCGGATTTAGTTTCGAAATCAAATTCATGTCTAAATCTCGGAGGTGCACTCTATAATACATACGCATGCACGCCGTGCAATGTCATGCGCATTTGCGTGCGCGCGCAATGGTGCGCAACGCACGTTGCCGTGCGAGGCATGCACATTCCCTAAGCCATCATCAAGTGCATGCTTAT